GATTGCACAAGGGCATGAACACCAGGAGGCCGGGATCGTGGGAGTCCTCTTGGGGGCTGCCTGCCACAGGCGGTTAATTTCATGTGTGCTTCTCAACTTTAATCAGAAGTTACAAGGTGCCCGTTATACAACTCTCTCGAGGCTCTGTGTGAGAGGAGAATGTCCCTGTGTGTTCCTTAGAGGGAGGAGATAGCCTGGAGATGGAGTCAGTGGGTCAAAACAGAGAGAGGTGCCCAAGCTTGCAGGGGCTCCAGGGACCTGAGGCTCAATGGGCAGAGGAATCCACATGCATCTATATCTTGTATGCGAGTGTCTAAACAGGAGTAGGACTTCTGGTGGGGTGAGCCGATGTATTTGCTAGGGTCACTGAATATCAAACATCTTATTCTTGGAAACTGCATGAAAGTCACCAGATATCCCAGATGGCCAAGAGGTTGTGGGACCCCCTGCCTTTGAATGAACCATATGGTCATGACAGGGAACATCCCAGTAGCAACCACGATATATCAAAGACAAAACAATCTGTCCTAGGTAATTTCTGACAGATGTTAGTACTAAAGAGTAAAAGATCAATGGAGGCTTAGGGCTAGAGAAAATTTAATTTAGAAAAGGTAAGTAATGTGATGTTTCTTTTATCTTGTCATTGTAAAAGTATATTTATACTTCTTATGTATTTAATTTTTACATTCCTTTGTTGGCATTGCTTATTCCTTTGATAGAAGGGGAAACTGAGGCACAGAGAAATGTTTCCCTTATGTGTATCCTAAGTTAAGTTCTAATTGCCAAGTCATCTAGTTGTCAAAAGACATTTCTTCAGTAAATACAGCTATGACAGCTGTGGATAAAATGAAAGGTCCTGTGGCCAGGATTCTCACCTGGCCCTGGTTGCCTAGCTCATTACACACGTGTGGGCAATACGTTGCTATTGACTCTAGATAAAGAGCTCCACCCAGTGGTGGGTGTGTGTGTGTGTGTGTGTGTGTGTGTGTGTGCGTGCGTGCGTGCGTGCGTGCGTGCGTGCGTGTGTGTGTGTGTGTGTGTGTGTGTGTGTGATACAGTGGCAGGACTGCAAGGCTGCAGAGCAGAGGCTGGAGTGGGGGCAGCGCCAAGGACAGAGGCCTAGAAGATAGCTGTGTGGGACAACTGTGTGGGCAGAGGCCCAGAGGACGGCTGTGCAGACAGAGGGGCCCAGAGGCAGAGACCAGCTTGCTGCATGCAGACTCGCTCTGAGTGGCAGGATTCTAGTGATTGACCTGCCACTGTGGGAATAAAGTTGGATATAAACCCTTTCACCCCAAGAACATTCTACTGTCATTTCTTTGGTCACACTGAATCCATAGTGAACTTTTCCAGGGGCTGAAACCTATTGGCAAGACACAGCTCTTAACCTCTTAGAGCTTTCTTTTTCCTCTGGAGAGTAAATATAAAGAAGGATGGAAACTGTACATTGATTATAAAGAAAGTAAGTATTATCAAGTGCTGAATTTATTAATTCTAAGGAGCACTGGAATGACTAATGGGTTCTGAAGAAAGGATAGCCTCACCCCAGTCCTCCCTTACAATACATGGTGATGCCTTGTAAATGAAAAATATAGCCCAGGAAGATTCTCCAAACTAAGAATAGGAATCAACGGTTAACACATTGGCCTGAAGTTTGGATTAGACGGTAGTAAGGGTAGTAATGTTTCAATGTTAATTTCCTGGCTTTGATAGTTGGATTGGGTTATAAGGAGAATGTCTTTGTTTTTAGGAAATACACTAAACATTTGGGGTCATGAGGCATTATATAGACAACTTCCTCTCAAGCGTTTCAGGGAGAGTAATTTCTTCTGCTGTTTTTAATGAAAAGTAAAAACCAGAGGAAAACTGAACAAAGACAAGAGATGGAAATTTGGAAAGAACTAGAGGAGAAGGGCAGAGGATTGAGTAAAATAGGTTATGTCTGAGAGAAGAGAGGGAAGGATGAAAGGGAGCCGGTTTATTTAGAAGATGGGGCGGGAGTAAAACAAGATGCTGACATGGTTGACAGAAACTAAACGGGGGGTTGGCAGTGGATTTGGAGAAGGCAAGTTAACAGGGAAGAGGCTGGGTTAGTGGGCAGAGGAAGAAAAGAGGGTGGGTAAGAGAATTACTATTTATTGAATGCTTTCTATGTAAGGAGCACTAGGCTAGGGATTTAAATCCCTTTAACTCTTACATAAACGTGTTCAGAGTTTTATGCACATTTAAAAAATAAACTGAAGTTCAAAAAAGTTAAGTAACTAGCTCAACTAATACAGCTGGCAATCAGAACCAGGATTTAAATCTCAGTATGTGTGATGTCACTGACAATGGACAGTATAGAAATGGTCTTTATCCGGTCAGAGTAGAGAATTTCCACTCCTCCTCACCCGCCGGGACTGGAGTGAGTGAGAAAATGATGGTGGGGCTTTGGAGGCTGGGATTAAAAGCAGGACTTGAATCATCTGAAGAGATGTGTGCTACTTGCAGTCATGGGGAAATGGCAGAAAAAGCAAAGAGAGATGTTAAGAAACACTGTCACTTACAGGCAAGAGGAGACGGAGGAGGTCAAAGGGGAATTGCAGAAGACTGAAGGGTATGGTAGGCTACCTTCTAAGATGGCATCTAATGACCCCCCTCTTAGTATTCATACCCAGTAGTTCTCTCCCCCTGAATGTGGGCTGGATCTGGAGACTTGCTTCTAACCCATAGAAAACTGCAACATTGACAGGATGTCAGGTCAGTGATCAGTTACAATAATTACAACTTCCATTTTGCTAACAGACTCTTTCTTGTTGGTTTCAGTGAAGTAAGCTACCATGTTGGAAAGGCCCAAGAATCAAAGAACTAAGGGCAGACTCCAGCTAACAGCCAGCAAGGGGTGAGCTCCTCAGTGCAACTCCTTTGGTGAAACTGAACCTTGCCAATAGCCATGTGGATGAACTTGAAAGTAGCTTCCGTCCCACTTGAACCTTGATCAAGTCTTGTGAGTGACCCTGGGCCAACACTATGATTGCAGCCCATGACAGGCCTTGAGGTGGAGGATCCAGCTGAGATGCATGGGCATTTATGCCACAGAAACTGAGATAATAAATATGTGGTGTTATTTTAGTTCACTAAGTTTTGATATACAGTTGGTCTTCATTATTCATGGATTCCATACTTGCAAATTCACCTAGTCACTATCATTTATTTGTAACCCCCAAATCAATATTCACAGTGCTTTCACGATCCCTTATGGACACTTACAGAATGGCAAAAACTTTGGGTTGCCTGACGCACACACTCCCAGCTCAAGTTGAGTAAGGCAAAGGTCTGCTTCTTGTTTCAGCTCTCATGCTGTAAACTAAAGTGTGCTTTTCATGGGCTATTTAGTGCAATGTTTTTTGCATTTTTCTTGGTAGTCTCACTGTTCAAAATGGTCCCCAGGCTTAGAGCTGAAGTGCTGTCCAGTGTTTCTAAGCACAAGCAGACTGTTACGTGCCTTTTGGAGAAAATTTGTGTTTGAAAAGCTTTGTTCGGGTATGAGTTATATTCAGGCTGTTGGCTGTGCACTCAGTGTTAATGAATCAACTATATATTAAATAAAGTGTATTTAAACAGAAATACACATAAAAGGTTATATGTTGATCAGTTCATGGAAACAATGCCATCAGAGGCTTGCAGAAGCCTCACCCTGCAGTTCCTAGAGGAGCAATAGTTCAGTATTTGCTGATTTGGTTTCTTGGTGATTTTATGCGACATAACTACCTCAAATAATGAGAATCAACTGTAAGTTATTAAGTAATAATAGATAATGAATACAGAGGAAAACAGGATTAACTCAGGTCACCAATCTAAGGGTGAAGACTTTCACAAGGAGGGCATGATCACACATCAAGGATGTAGGTCTCTCACTCGGGTTAAGGCTGGTGAGATGGCAGATGGCAGCTAAGTGTGGTTAAAATGGTCATGTCAAAAACAGAAAATTTTGCCTAGAGAGAGTTGTTTTGGATGAACGTGAGTGGAACTCTTTGGGAAAATTATCCTCGCACAGCTATCTTTTTTCTCTGTAAAGCTCACAGCTGCAGGAGAATCGATGTGTCAAAGGTACCAGCTTAATTAAAAGCTCCCCGACTGTACAGGGTGATGTCATCACTCAGGGTGGCTCCCAGCGAGCCGCAGCACACTGACGCTCTCACCGCAGGGAAAGGCACTACTAAGGGAGAAGCTGGGGAAGGGAACAGCCTCCTGGCAACTTGTCTTCACGCAGCTTTTCTCTATCTATAGCTGAATGTTTTAGTTTCTGTGGCTGAAACTGTAAGCCATCTTCATTTTATTTATTTTGAACTTCAGCCTATAAAAAGTTCCTTTTGACTTGGATTTGCAATTAGGCTCCCACCTTCATCCTGGATCCCCACTCCTACCCCCAGCCTCTGTGCTCACTCCAATAAATGTGCCAAGTCCTTACATATGCATGGATTTTGAGAAAAAGGTTTTGTGTATGAATGTGTAGGTTCAGAAGTTATATAAATGGCACTATGCCATTTCTGAATTTTTCCACTCTTTCTTATGATTTAAATGTTCCCCTATGAACACACAGTGTGTTATTTCTAACAGCTGTGTAATACGCCATAGCATGTATCCACCAGACACTTAGCCTGCCTCCAGCTTCTACTACCACAGGTAGGTAAAGGGCGAAGAACGAATGTCGCAGTCCACCTGGTAGGAGCACGCCCCTCCTGGGCTGAAGGTTACTTCTCTGACTTCTCTGGTCCTTCTTCCCTTTTCTGGGTAGAGGACATTATCCACCAGAACTCATGTCTTCATCATGAGAACATTCAATGTCTCACTTTTTGTAGAGGAACTTCCCATTATGGTATTCCAACTCTTGGGAGAGGCAGAGGCACAGACTGGTTTTCTTAGGTTTAAAAAAGAAGCAGAGTGGTGATTCCTCACTCTGATTTTTCCCGAAGGTTGTAAATATAGGAAAAAAAAAACACCCAAAGCTCAAAGCAAAATGTATGAACAATTTAACATATTTTAATTTAAGAATAAACGTATATGCCATGAAAAGGCAAGAGACAGAGAAAAGAGAGGTTGACAAAGTCAGGTAACCATGAAACATGGAGACACTACCACTGAGAGAACTTGTTACCCAGTGAGTAAACAACACATGTGGAAAGCTTAGATCATTCAGGTGTGGAAGGCAGAACTGGAAAGGGAATAAAACTTGGGTGGCAAGAAAGCCAAAATGTATCCTGTCCTCACCTACCAGGTGCCAACACCCACACAAAACTTCTGAATAAGTGACACTACACAGAGTCTTGCTGGGTCAAAGACATAAAGCCCAAAACTTGTGGAATCAATTTTTATTTCTGAACCATACAGAGAGGCTATAGGTGGCATTACATATTTTTTATATTATTAATCCACATTATTTAGGGAGATTTACCAAAACAAAATCTAATAGATAGTTTATTCTGAGCAATCTAACACCAGGTAAAAAAACCTTTCAATATATAAAAGATTAATTTGTGCACATCTAAATATTTCTAAGGGGGCAAACTACTGAGGCGTTGTGACTGTATGAGTAGCAAACACAGGACCAGAGCTGAATCCTTTAAATGGTAACACAAAGGCCTGGAGTAGTGACTTCTTCACACATGTCAGAATATGTCTTAAAAGATAACCCCATAGAACATTGTATGGCTTCAACATGAACTTGACATTTTCTTCCACATCCAGCTATTGCCCTCAAACAAACTTTCTCACTCCTTGACAGTATCTGCTGTGCAGATTTTCTTTCTCTTAATTAAGGACCTAAGTGGAGAGCAGTTGCCATTTTAGGGAAACAAGACTTTTTCCCCAGTGACCCTTTGGTTCCCTTAACTACAGATCCACAGGAAAAGTGCAAAAACAGTTTCCAGAAGTCAGAACTACAGCAAGAATGCTCAGAATGCAAGAGCTAGATAGCTAATGATGTGCATGTTTACATCTCTACTTATCTGCTTAGGGATTGTTTTTTCAGGATGCTTCTAGAATTCTAGTTACTTGGATCGAATTTACACGGTGGCTTTGCTCTAGCACATGCAATTAATTTGTCTTCTAAAGATAATAACATAGTAGATGCCTAAGTATTAGAATGGCTGTGCAGCCGACAGAGCAGCCCAAACAAAGCTACTGGATGGGAAAGGTGCTCGCAATTTCCATATAGGAAGATGAAGCTTCAAAAAGAATACCACCTGAGTGTTCTTCCATGAACAGGCTGCACAAGTTCAAAGAAAATATGAATGGTCAGATTGCTGCAGTGTCTGTTTGAATATAATGAGAGCCCTCGATCAACTGCTCTGTCCTCAGGCTTGCACCACTCTACCGAACACCACATTCCTCCTTACATCCTGTGGCTAGGGGAACCGTGTAATTCCGCTTCCAGAACGCGACACGGCTGAGTGAAAAGGGGCATTGTTAATTACACCAGGGCAACAGTGGCAAACTGGTGAACAAACCGGAATACTGGGTCACTGGACTTACATCAACTGCATAGTTTGGGCTTCCAAAGACAGCACTGGGCTGAGAGAGGGTATGCTCAGGGTTTTTCTCTCAGACAAGCTGGATGTTTTATGAGGGAGGAGACCCAAAAAGAACACAGTTCAGTAAGATAGTCAGTGGAAAGGGAAGATAAGGGAAATGTAGATAGCTATGGCTTTGGAGGGAAGAGAACTGACCTGTGTATACGAGAGCACATCGGGAAGGTGGGTGGGAGACAGACATGAAGCATATAAAGTCAGTGAAATTTCGTCACCTGTGCAAAGCTGTCTACTGCAGTGTTCAAAGCTCACGATACTCAGGGCTCAAAGTGCTCTGCACAGCTCTCCCGGTGTAGCTGCCACCCCAAGACTATGGCAGAGCCCTGTTCTCCACTTTTTATTTTTGCTAGCTTATTAGTAAGGTGATTCTGGAGATTAAGAATGTAAGAGTAAGGCCAGGACCTCAGCCACTCCTGTAAACATCCGACAGCCTTCTAAGCAGGCTTCACTTTGAGTCATGCTTTCGTAGCTTCTGTAGCTATGATCCTGTCTTTTTTTCAGCAGGCCATTTATTGTACTGACTGTGAATGTCAGAATATTTTTTTAAGCATAAATTAGTGTGCATGCCTTACCTGTGCATTCTGTTAGAGAAACTAATACTAAATACAAATGAGGGAAGGGGAAGGATGATGTGCTGGAAAAGGGTGTGGCAAACTTTTTCTATAAAGTAAGTAAATATTTTAGGCTTTATAAGCCACATGGTCAGCTGCAGCTATAACTCTGCTGTTGTAGTGCTAAAGTAATGACAGTGTTCTTAAACCAATCTGTGTGGCTGTGTTTCAATAGAACTTGATATATGGATACTGAAATTTGAATGATTTTCATGTGTCATGCAATATTCTTTTTCCAACACAACATGTGAAAACTATTTTTAACTAGAAGACCATGCAAAAATAGGTGGTGTTCTGAAATTGGCTGTTTTAGGCAACCTCTTCTAGAGGTCTATAGATTTGACATCACCCTGGTATTTTAGACAGCATGTGAAGACTATCAAAGAATATTTTGCAAAGGATAGTAGATACTCATATTTAATTTTAAACCTGTGATCATATTACAGTGTTTTAAAGCAGATTACTTTTCATAATGCATGTGAGAGAGATTCAGATAACAGAATGTTACCAAATAACAAATTTCTGAGTGGGCCACCTCACACTCAAGGCCTTGGCACTTCAAGTGTAACATCTGGAACTAAGTTTAAGGCCTAAAGCCCAGAGAGCTAGCAAAAATGCAGATGTGGGTCCTTCAGTTTTTTGAGGTGGACGTTTTCGACATTCACTGGAGAAAAGATGATTTCTAAAAAGTCCAACTCAGAGAAAACATGACACTCCTGAAGACCAATTTGTAGGCAACATGATCACTAAACTAAGATGATGTGAATTAGAAAGCCTGGCTTTCCTTGGAGAAGCTAGAGACGATTCATGCAGACATGAACCGGCTGGGCACTCAGCTGATGGTGGCTTCACACCAGGTCTGGGTTATGGCCATGTTAAGCAAGCTTAGGATTTTAAAGGTAGAGTGACCTGGGAACAACTATCCTAGGGAGAGGTGAGCCCTGCGTATTTGAAACCTACAATGATTACCAAGGAGAAATCCAGTCAGTCTAGGGAAACAAACCCATCCCCTATTAGTAGTGAACCTAAGTGATCTTATTGGTCAACACCAGTCTTAAGAGATGAAATATCACTGCACCAAAGGGTTACAAGAATATTGAAACGGAAGGTCCTGCTCTCTTGTGAAGGTTCAGCTAACATCTTTGAGGCACATAATCGGCAAAACAAGGAAATAAACACAATTTCATAAAGCATGTTAGGAATCAACAAATCTCCTTACAGTTTTTCCCCTTAGAAACCTAGAATGGCACCAGGTAGTGCAAAGTGGAAACAAGTACCATCAGCCCTCTCTCTTCCAGGTAGATATGTTTCGACAAAACCACGAAGCAGAAAAGCACCCTCTTCTTCCAGCCATGGCCAGCTAGGGCTTTTCTTTCAGCTTCTGGTCAATACTTCGAAAAAAAGGAAAAAAATGAGAAACATGAGAAACGGAGTGAGAAACATTTAGTAATGATGTGGAGTGGCATGCATTTGCTTTTTTCCTTAAAGGACTTACTGAAAATAAATCATGCACGTTTCTTATCCAAGAAAAGCCCAGTAGAATGCTATCCTCTAAACTAGACTTTCTCTAAACTATGGAATCTGTTTATTTTTACAAAACCATTTTTGGAAGCATTTTACACCTTTCAAAATGATCTAAGGAGGCAGAAGACTCCTGTGAAGGTTCATTTCTAAAGAAGATTAAGACAAGGAACGTCACTGCATTTTGGAAATAAGGGATCTAACATTTTTAGTAAATGACTTTTCTTTGTGGGGCAAATATATGATGTGCCTGAAGTAAGGTCCATCTAACACATGCTAAATGGTAGACCAATGGTAAACAATAAAATAACACTGGCCAAAGAAAACCTAACATTTTCTGGAGCCAAAGATTTTGCATGAAAGAGGTTAGCTGGCCTTACTGAGCTGGATTCTTATAACCTAGGAAAATCTTGTTTTTCAGAATGGCTAGTGCAATCCCAGTGTCTAAGGAGTAAGTCTAAAATGTCCTCGGGCCACTTGTTTCTCTCTTCTGCCTCTTAGTGAATGTATGACAACATCCTGGCATTTACCGGAGGAGAGAGCTAGGCCAATACACTCAGAGGAAGAGTATATATAAGCCACAAAGAAAGAATGCATGGTATGGAAAGAGAAATTTGGAAAGCATCTGTGGTTTTTGCTTGGCTCTGCCCCTGCCGAGCCTTAACTCTGCACACCGCACAGGTGGCTGTGTTGTGCTTGTGGAATCTGCAGCAGCTGAGCAGCTTTCCCGCCAGGTGCTTTGCAAATAGAGCCATAGGCAACCCACCTTGCCTGCCCAGCCAGTTTGTAGTATTAAAGTTTCTTTCCTTTGAAATACCCTCAGCAATTGTACCACTAGCAGCTCTGGGGCCTCGGCCAAGTTACCCATCTTATCTAAGTTTCCATTTCTGTATCTATAAAATAGAACAATCATCTCTCACAGCTTGCTACAGATTACGTCTAAACTGTTTTCAATAGTGAACACAAGCAAATGTCTAGCACTAGTAGTAGTAGCTCAGTGTCTTTTTGAAATGGGACCTGATTTTAAAAACCCTGAAAAACAGTAACAACAAAAACCCCATGTAGGTCAGGATGCCATTTGCAAACAGCTTGGTTTTCATAACTGACTTTTCTGTATCCCTTTCTCTTTCAGTAAGCAAAACGCTGAAAGACTGAAACCTGCTTACCCAGCTTATGGATGAAGCCCGAGACAGCCAAAAGTGGGTGATTTTTAAGTAAGTATAGGAAGCCACACCAAAGATTAATGTTGTAGACAACAGTTATCTTGCGGAGCTTATGATAGCTAATGCTATGGCAATGCTATGTACTAATTTCCATCTCCCAAACAGACCCACATCTCCTGCATCATATATACTTTTTACACATGTAAAAATATTAGAAGATTTTAGGGCATGAGAATGCATAAAATCCGACCTAAAAGTGAAGTCGGCAAGCCCCTGGGGTATTTTTAAAAAGAGTATGCTTTCTGGAAGAAAAGTTACTTCTAATCAGAAATGAAATATGAAAGGAATATTCCTCAACTTTGTGCAGATGGGGTTGGTCTTGTATAAACTTTTCCCCTGAGATGTAACAACCTTCTGACCATTTACTATAGGCCATTTTGGCTTCTCACTCGTGTTGAACAAGGTTCCTTACTAGGTACCTGAAAATACTTCTTAATGATGTGTAAAAACTCATTCTAATGTAGGAAGTGGGGTGGGGGAGACAGGCCCAGCTCTCACTTCTTTCTTTGAGGAAACTGAGAGACCACCCCAGTATTGCAACACATCATTTTATTCTTGGTCTGACTGAGCTTCTTGGAAGAACCTTTGCCCATTTTGTGGTCTAGCCATTCAGTACTAGTAGCTACAGGTGTAAAATGCTTCCCCACAGCAGCCAGAAGGTAAATGAGGCCCCTTATTCTGATACTAAAGAAATCTAGAAATCCAGGGGTAGAAGTCAGCAGAAAAATGTCTTGACCCCTCTTGCCCCTCATCCCAGATATCATCCTGTGCAGTAATCATGTGCCTGGTGAAGGTTAGGAAAGAGAGGGCTGAAGAAAAGGGAAGCGCAGAGAAGAACATGTTCTAGGAAGTGGGAGGCAATATAGACTATTCGCAGCGTCCCTCCCTTCCCCACGCCCAGCCCTGGAATGAGCCCAGACAAGCAGCAGTGCGTTGCCCTCTCCCCATCCCAAGCATTCATCTGTACAACTGAGGAGCTAACAGACTAGGCAGGTAAAGGAGTGGGTAAGCCCGTAGATGTAGCAGCCTTAGGCCAGTGAGCGACTGTCAGTCACGCAGCCCTTTAACTGTGGGCCCAGGAGTCTCCTCTGAGAGGGGCGCTGTTTTGCTGAGGGAGGAAAGGTTTGCAAAAACTAGGTGGAGTGAGGGGCTATTGTGTTTTTGTTTTGCAGAATTTTCCTGTGGCAATCTGCCTGAAGCAATTGTCTTCATCTCAAAGAGGTGCAGCAATTACAGCTTTCCGGTTTTATGTGCTCTTCAGCTGGGACCTTCTGTCCAGAGTTTTTGTGCATAAACCTCCTTACCCTGTAAGGTCACCATGGTAACTACAGAGCCACTGCACTGTGATTTTCCATCTTCCCCTTAGACTCAAGGGAAAGGAGGCCCAAAGTGAATGAAATGTGAAATAGCTGACATTTCAGTCTGATCTTTGCACCTTCTTCTGGAGTCGGGAAGGACAATGTTAAATTCTCTCAAACTAGATTAGAACTGGATGGCCAAATTCTCTCTGAGAGCACGTTGGTGAGGACAGTTTATTGCCTGAAACTTATGCAGCAATAATTAACTCTGTTCTCTTAGGTGACTAATTTCCTCCTCTCTAATCTTTGGTTAGATCAGATGTCACGTATCCATTCCAGAATTAAGACCATCACTGATTTAAAAACCACTGGCTCTAGAATTGAACCCACAGATTCACATCCCAGCTCTGGGTCATTTTTACAAATGTAAAACATCAGACTGGGCAAATAATCTCTCTACGCCTCTCTTTCCTCATCTATAAAATGAACCTCACAGCTTTGTTTTGAGGATAAAACATTAGTGTGCATGACACTTTTTACATAGAACCTAGCACATGGGAAGATCTTCAGACCTGTTCAATTTGTTTCTCAAAGGACAGGACTAGTAGACTCGATCATTTCTAAGGTCCCATGCAGATTCAATTGCTCTTGGGATTTTCAAAACAAAGACACTTTCTCTCCCATCTACCAAAATATTAAGTTCCAATGGAAGTCCCAACTTTGATTAATTAAAAGAGATGATGTAATTCACAAAGAGGAACTGTATTCTCCTGCCCAAGAGCTCTTACATCTGGCTCTCATGTTCATTTTCTCCTCCTTTTTGGATTGGAAAAATAAAAGGCCAAGAAGAGACTTAGGTTGTCCCGAAAGGAATTTAATGGTGCTCATGAATGAGATGGTGTTAAGCTAGCACTTTTCTCTTTAAGTTCCTGATTTCAGAATAAAGAACGTGAAAGCTGAACATCTAAACAGGGTTTACCCAATCCTCGATGTATCTTTTTCTTTCAGAGCCCAGCCATACAACACTACAAGTAACCACATAGCTGTATATAGATGGTGAATTCTTACTCCTTCTCCATAGAAGACATTTCGGGATCATTGTAAAGGCAGCTAGTTCTGAGTGCGAGGAAAAAAACAGGAAGCAGTAAACATTGTCTCCATTGTTACCACTTTGTAAGCACAGCAGATCTGGGCATTTTAAACTGTTTCACATTGTCCCCTTGCTAATGTGGATCAAATCAAAACATGAACAGATGCTGAGATTAAACTGTGATTCTTTTACCATCAATTTTTAAATACAGTAACAGGCCCATGATTTAGAAACACAAAAAGGAAGATTGAGCATGGCCAAACACTTTCAGTGGCCATTTCTTTCCTTGCCACTTTTTCCTGATTTTTCAATCTAGCGTATTCAGCGAACAGAATATTGCAAACTTTTATTTGGAATCCAAGTAATATATTTTATACACATAGGACAATCCTTCTCTGGCAGTCTAATTTTATTTTCATAGGAACACAGTTAATTTCAGTTTTTGCAAGAATGGGGATTTTCCCAAACACTAAAAGAAAAAATGTCATGTTACCTTTCTTTGCTGTTGTTACAGAAAAATCACAGGACACTTACTACCATACAAATGAATCCTAACATCAACCTAAATTGGATGTGTCCAGAAAGAAAAATGTAGCCATATAAAATATGGAAATAAAAGTTTGGTTGTGACATATGAATGTATTTATGCTTTTTCTGTTATACTAGCAGCTCTTGATATTCCATATTGGTGAAATTCCTCAAATTTCAAATCTGGTTTATATTAGTTGCTGATTAATACTTAGTACATTTGAACTTTTACTTTTTCCCCTCCCCTCTGGCTAATATTTATTATCGGCAAACAAACGCTATTTAAAGAGATTCTATGATCTTTTTTAAGTGAGAGTTCCTTTCGTAATGTGAATAATTTCCCATGTGAAAAGCTGATGTATCTGTTTGCACAGAAGAGGTTCAGTTATTAATGTTAGGCATTTTGTTGAAAATGGCAGAAGGCTGTATCTCCCTGGGTGGGGCAGAGGGTTTTTTCCTTACCTCTCTCCCCACCCTTCTTGCCGGTGGTCTGGTATTTCTATGGATGATATTTGGCAACTCTAGTGAACAAGGACAGTCAGGCAAATGTTGACAGTATGCTAGAAAAACTTAGCAAAGCTGGAATGGAATCAAGAAAAAGGCAGTCTTCCAAACATAGCCTTTCTGCTTTTTAACTTTGCATAATCTTTCCAAAGAAAACAGCAATTTGTAATTCATTTAGTACTGTCACTTCTAAGGCAGCAGATGGATTCCCCACCATTTGCAAAATAAGGGTGGCTCTCTATATTCAATTTATCCTTCAAAAGTATCTTCTTTCTTGTACAGATATAAAGTTCCAGGGAAAAATAAAAGAGGCTGAGGAATTTGCCTTCTGAAAGTCCATTAGAGGTGGTGGTCTATGTGTATGTGGGGAGAGGGTAAATGCGTAAAAATACTCGTGGGAATGAAACAGAACAATAGACAGACTAGTGGGGATAAAAAAAAAACATGTCAGGTGTATATTTGCCTTTGGTTGGAACAAGCCTGAAGCTTTCTAATAAAGGTCACGTGGAAAGTCAATGTGCACCTGTTCATAGAAAGAACCTGGGTTGCCCGGCTTCTAGACTCTAACTGTAAATCTGCACTGACCTTGTTTTCTGAACCCCAAATCATCATATACAATCTCTCCAAGGATTTGGGGGCCACTTCAAAGGCTGAAAGGTAGCTGAGAAGATGTAGTTAGTATGCTGAAATGGCAGGATTCAGAGCCATTTCAATCACGTGTGGGGCCAATAGCATAAAATTCTTTCTCCTTACACATTTTCCAATGTGCAGATGTATTTCAATTCCTCAAACATGTATCATTACCATCAAAAGAAATAGGATCAATTGGAGAATTCAGACTTACTGAATCCAAAGTGCGAGCCTAGACCCCTAAGACAAAGCTAGTCATTCTTACTCAGCCATTTACTGTAAGGTAGTGCACCTCAAAAGCACAGTCCTAGACAGGTAACGTGGGCATCAGTGGGGACTTGGTAGAATCACAGCGGCTCAGGCCTGCTGCATCAGAAACTTTGGGGATGAGGCAAGATACTCTGTTTTAACAAGCAGACGATCCTGATGCACAGTGAAGTTTGAGAATTACTGCTCTACAGCAATGATCTTAATTTTATGCACATTCATCGATTTATGCAGCACGTATTTACTGAGCCTCTACTATGCACTAGGCATGAGCTTCATGCTTCTTTAGATGCACCTTTAGATGTTTCTTTAGGTCCAGACATCTTGATCTCAGGAGCACCTGGGACTATTTATATGCCCAGGAAGAGGGGCTTTGGGGGTGGGGACGAGGACAAAAGGAGGGATTTGAGAAAAGAGAAAGCTACATAAACTAAACAAAAGTGATGACTGTCTCATTTGGGTATCTAAGCTGGAAGAGCAGAAATACCGAAGGACAAAATGATCTATTAAAGGAGGCAAGATTTTATGGTAATAATGAAAAAACATGATGATATGACTTTATAATGGGTTTGGCTGAAAAATTATTGATGTTCTCTCCCTTTCCCCATGTTTTATATTGAAAACAGCTCCTTAATTTCATAAATGTGTTATCATCCTAAAAAAAATGAAAGAGAAACTCCTTGCCATTTCTCACCCTGGGGATTCTCCTGACACAGTGCAATTTAAGCAGATAAATGGTAAAGTAAACATTATGCCCACATTTGGTTCCTTGATTCCTAATAATGTTCCTTCCTCCCCCAACTTCTTGTTTGTAACAGTTGAGTTACAGATGAAGAAGATTCTGTTGGAGTAGAAATCTATATAATTTTGAGTATTGTTAGCTCTAAATGAGTATCACTTATGTTGGTTAAAACCAGAGGATAAGAATGTTATAACAGTAAATGACACTAATGCTAAACTTCCTAAAGTGAAAACCTTTTCTTGAATTTTAACCCCCAAGATCCACACATTGGCAAATCATTCTACAAATTACCTGCAATAAAAATGTGCTGTAGGAAAAATACCTAAAAGGATTGTTTTGGTGAGGAATTGGCACCACTGAAGAAAAATTTCACTATTTTAGACTTCATTTATTCAGAATTTGTAGCTGTTTGGACATTGCCAGCCTTTCTGCTTTTGCAATATCTACTAAAATGGGAACAAGTTATATAAATTAAGTGTAAGCAACATCTGAAATGGAGAAGAAACTCAATACAGCAAACATTCCAAATAGTACTTGTCTACATTTAACATACAGTGTCAGAAAATTATTTTTAACTTGGAAATAAGAAAAGGAAATTACTGGATGTTCTTTCAAAGCAGTGCTGAGTTGACTCTACTGATGGTCTATGTGACAGCTCTGTAGGGGTAGAGGTTAACCTGTAGATTTTTCTGAGCAGAGATGTAAATAGTTTCTGTCCAGTGGAAAAGATAACCCTAGGTTTCAGTTTATTGCCCTGTTGGACATTAATCAATTTTGTATCTAAACCAACAATCTTATTTTAACATTCCTTTATAAACTGCCTAGAGATATATAGCTCCTCAAATGCTCTTTGAACTGGTTGAACCTTATTTGTTCCTTCATTAAATAGTTGACTAAAATCATTGGCATGTATTCATTTTACATTTGCAGTAAAGTTATGATTTTGCCTTCCGAAAATTATTCTTTAACAATAATGAGCAATAATTTTTTTTCTATTCAAATATCTCAGAAGCTGTTAGTTAAGCAATATTTCCAAGTCACTAAGTATGGTGTTTAAAGAAAATCTTGGGTGTTCATGAAATTGGTTCTATAAAAATATTCCAAATTTCAAATATTCCAAATTCCAGCCATCATTTCTCCCCATTAGTATGAATTAATGAGGTCTTGTTGCCTCAAAATATCTAATCATCATCTGGATTTTATGCCATATAGCAGTGCCTGTGATGGGTTCTTTGCTGTAGTGCCTAAAATTGCATGTGCATTTAAAAAAAATTAAATAGTAAATGCATTCCTCAAGATAGCCAAGATCATGGAGGTAAACAGATCATAGTACAATTAACAGAAATCTCACCTATCATGGGACAAAGGGAACTTGCAAAATATAGCATTATTATCAAGATGCAAGAATGTAACACCAAGCATGCAGGTTCTCCCAACTCATTCCTGAAATGCAAGCCAATATCACGCCAGCTGCTGAAGGAAAACCAAGTCTTACTTAGCTGCTTCTGATGCCTCCCTCAGTTCTTCATCCAGTCTGCATGAGCAAAAGTTATCGGTGTAGAAAAGAAACAAAAAAGAAGCAAGCAGAGCATGAGAGAGTCACCCAGCAAAGCACAGCCAAACATAAGTGGAGTGTATGTGCTTTTAAAAACCATCCTCTGGAGCCCTGAGACACACTTTGATTAACGATGGTATCATTTTCTCCCATTCAGTGTTTGTGTATGATTACTCTGCAAATCCCTTCATGAAGGTGGCTAGAAAAGTTGCAAGGAGATCAGAAACATGCTGGCTGAATAAAAGCTGAACATTTCCACATCCGTCTGTTGGGTATAGTTAAAGTTAGCTTGCAGCCCGGGCCAAGTCAGGGGTGTATCTGGTTTAGTAGGTTTCAGTTGCAAATGAGGTTGACCTCAACAGCTTTACACACACAAGACAAAGTCTGGGAATGGTCTACTACGAGAGGCTGATACAATGACCTCTGGTAGCATGTTGAGGTCACCCACGAGTAAGACACTGGTGTACACACACGGAGGGTCCAGCGTGTATTGCAAATCAGGAGATTTTACCTCACACTTCTCTTATAAGATCTCTCTTCATCGTACCTTATGGGATAAAAATGAATGCAGTGAGGAAAACGAACAAACAGATGGGAAAAAACGACAGGTAAATGATTTAAGGAACAATCGAAACATGAGAGAAAAAGCCTACCCCAAAAACAATCAAATTGCCTTACTGTATTTTCATTAGATATAATCAATGATTTATAATTATACAAAGTCAATCCTAATTATTTGCAAATTCTATGTTTGTGAATGCGCTTACTTGCTAAACTTTATTTGTAACCCCAAAATCAATATATGTGGCACTTTCACAGTCACCTGCAGATGTTCAGTTGCAAAAAACTTGAGGCATCTGACAGGCACAATCCCAGCTGAGATTAAGGCAAGATTCTGCTTTCTCGTTCAGCTCTCATTCTGTTAACAGCTCTCATTCTGTTAACAAGTGTCCTGCATATAGTCTATTCAGTGCCACATTTTTCTCATTTTTGTGCTTTTTTTGTTCGTGCTTAAAATGGCCTCTAAGCATAGTGCTGAAATGCTATCTCGTGCTCCTAAGCACCAGAAGGCTATACGAGCCTTGCAGAGAATACACTGTTACAGAAGCTTTGTTTAGGCAGAAGTTACAGTCCTGTTGGCATTGAGTCCAATGTTAATGAATAACAACATATAAAGTATCTGTACACAGAAACACACATAAAACAAGGTTACATATTAATTGGTAACAAAAATGTGACTAGATGCTCTCAGGAACTTAGCCCTATATTCCCCTTAGGAACAGAGGTTCAGTATTAGCTATTCAGTATTCTAGAACATCACTGCTACAGGTAATAAAAATCAACTGTAATCAATTATTATAAATCTGATTTCAGACTGGTAAATTTTTCTTTCCTTCAAGCTCCTTGATGGCAGGCTCCATCCCAGCTGAATACTGACTGTGCTGGGGGCTATGATCGGATCCTCTGAATGTTATTCAGTACCGGAAGGAGTCAGGGCTTGTGTCAATTTTTAAATGGAATAACATGAAAATGAAGCAGTGACGGCCAGGAACTGAAATGGCAGAAAGCACATCCAGAGGAGATGGATCACAAAAGACAGGAGAAAACGTGGACACTGTGGGAGGATGTGGATGATGGCAAATCTCTTCCTCCAAACGAAAATCTTTCAAATGGAACACTTCCTCCTGAAGAAATTTTTGCCAAATGGAGCCCTTGAAAAACTGATGTGTGTAGATGATGAATGAAAAGTGCTTGGGTGTGTTTAACTTCTTAAACTTTAGATTTTCCCGTATGATAGTGAGTCTCTAAAGGCAGTGGGATTATAATAAATAACATTCTGGATTGTCAGCTCATGCTGGGAGGCTTCTTGAATACTTTATGTATGTTCCAATTCAATCTTCAGGACCTTTCCATAAAGGCATTCTACTTCTGCATGTTATGAATGCCAAAGCTGAAACTCAAGAGAGTTTCAATAGGTTGCCTGAAGTCTCAGAGACATTGAGCGGTAGGCAGAAAGGTTCAAATCTAATGCTAAGCCTCTAAAGCCCATTTTTTCTCTTTCTCCAACTGCCGCCCTGAGAAAGGGGCCAATACTCATTTCCACTTGAAGAGAGAATATTCTTGCCATTTTTTGCAAAGGGACATAGCACTATAGGAGACAGGTGCTCTAGTACTTTTAAAGAGTAGGAGTGGATTTTGGAGATGGGGGTGCACCTTTTTGAGGCAGCAGGCCAGAGTTTTGAGGAACCCAAAGAAGCTAGGAGGATTGAAGCCATCATTAGGATCTTATGAACAGTCTGCTTGATGCAGCTGGGCCAACTGAAAGTTCCAAACCCAGTCAGGGTCCTGTGTTCATGGCTTATACCGGCATGCAGGAAAACCAAATGCATCTACTCCTGAGCTTTGGCTCTGGATGGATCCTACAAAGGAGGTAAAGGAAGGAACTAGAAAAGGGCATGGGAATTTGGAGCCAGGCTGATATGGATTTGAATTCTAGTTTCATCTTTTCTTTGTTCCTACTTACAATTTACATAAGTAACTTATCTTCACTAAGTTCTTATCTTCCTTTATCTGTAAATAGAGGTTTACTGTAGGATTAAATAAATAATGCAAATAAAGCACTCCTATTCCTGGCGTGGTATAGGACACACATTAAATGGGAGTTCTTCCCTTCCAGTTTCTGTGCACCCCCCCTTTTTTTTTTTAAAGTTAGGGAACTCTTTTTTGGAAGTCCAAATTGGGAGGTCCATTTTGTTATCCATCTTATGGAGAAAGACGGGGTATCCTTGTCTGTTTTCTTTGAGCTGATGGTTAAATTCCTCTCAATTGTAATCAAATAAAAAAACCAGGACTTCAGACACAGTGGAAGAAAAACATAATCTACAGAAAACAAATGGTTCTTTGCAATGGTGAACCAGAGAGGACGGTTCATTCTCCAGCGTCCGTGCTTTTTAAGTCCCAGCTCCAAGCAGTTGTTAACTTATTGTTTTTGCAGCATAATCCTGAGACCTTCAGTGTCCATGGCTTCTCCTCCCAGGCTGTTACCCTGTACTGAGTAAGGGAGTCATTCCTAACTGTGCCACCCACCACTGAGCCTGGAAGGAACTGCAAAGAAAAAGGGTTTAGAAGAAAACCGAGAAAGGGTAGTTCTTTTCTTTTCCCTTAGGGTCATGCAGATAAATGAACTTATATAAGGCAATAAAGAAATCCAAGCTATGCTTGGATCCTACTGTATCTGTGTGGAGTGTGAACCCCAAGTAACAGATCTACTGATTCATGTTAAATTTATGCTTTCTCCAAAATGGCAGTAAAATTCAGGGTGAAAATGCACAATAATCGATAATCTCAAGAGAAGATTCTGTAAAAGAGGATCTGAAAAAACAGAGCAGTCATCTACAGGTCATAAGAAAAACACGTATTTATTGGAACTAGTCTGTTTTAAATATAAGATAATGCCATTTCCCCATTGTTCCAGAAATGAGTTCTTTTTCAACCTCCTTCTCCAAACATGCAATATTTCTTACCAAATCTTTGAAATCATCAGGACTTACTTGATGATGCTCTCTGGAATATGGATGCACTCCATTGGGATCAGCCCACTGAGCTCTGATAAGCTACTGACATATTTAATCTTACTGCTGAATTTTGAACTAAAAAGAAGGAGAGAAGAAAAAACCTCATTAGTCCCTCCTTCATCTCTCCTGAGGCAGCTACTGCTTCTTGAAAAGCCTGATACACTCACCGCGTTACCCCAGCACTCTTACTCAGAAGACAAGCTGCATTGTTTGAGGAGTTACTATGTGCCAGATACTGTTTAAATGGCTTATATGAATTAACATTTCTCTTTCTTCTTACGCTCTAATGAAGTAGGTATTATCATCATTCTCTTTCTAAAGATAAGGATATTTGAGATGCAAGGAGTTAAGTATTTGTTTAAGGTTCTGCCCTCAGTAAGTGGCAGATTTAAAACCAGGCAATCTGGGTTTGGGGCCCACTCCCCGTGTCTCCTCCGCTCCTAAAAGTCACTGGTTTATGATTAGTCTGGCTTTTTTTTTGCTTGTTTTTAACAAACAAAAATCTTATCATTACCTCTTTCAGAATTTACCAAAGTTGATGTAGTTTAAAAGTATATGTGTGTAAACTCATTTTCCTCTTAAATTTTTTATTTTAGTTTTCTTTTCAATATTTTTTTAGTTTTTCTTTTTAGGTTTAGTTTGAGAGTTTAAACTCTCAATAGGTGTTGGACCAGTGTTCAAAAATGTGTCCCGGTAATTGTATTTGAATTACAAATGGCTTTCATCTATACATTATCATTTTAGATCTGTATGAAGGCACCAAAAACAAGGTGGAAGTATACCACTGAAACTGGTCAATGAATTTGCCTCTGGGGAGGAGGGTAAAGAACAGGAATCGGCAGTTGTTTAAGGAAGAACTTGGTCTTATTTGTAATGATTGGATATTTCACAATAAGAAGGCATTTCTGTATGTGGTGTAATTGCAAACTAATTTTAAATATCAATCATTCCACTTGAAAGGGAACTTGATCAAGCATCAGAGTTTCTTGAATGGTTTCAAATGAATGGCCTCCCCAGTCTACTGGGATCATGCTGAGCTGTCTGCCAACAGTATTGCCTTCTGTTCAACTACTGTGCCCTCTGGCAGGAGACTTTCCTAAAGTTGTTTCTCTATCCATCCACCCTTCACATTTTACTTGCAGTTTTGACACTGGGCCACTCACTGTTCACTATGACTTGTGAACAACATTTATCTCCAAACAGTCACTTCCAGTCCTCTTGATAAGTCTGGGGTAAACACACGCTCCCAATGAGATGCTACATTAGGCCTCTCCCTTCCTCTGGAGTTTTTGAGCTAAATTCAGATTTTGATAAACGATGGAGCAGGTGGAGTGAGAGGGAGGAAGAATCAAGCAAGTGGGAAACCTCCAGCTCCAGTGTTCGTTCGCTAGAATACACAAGCACGTCCTCTCTTGGTGTGCCTGGACCTGTGCTGCTACCCAGTCCTATCAGTTCTTCAAAACTCACCCTGAAGAGTCATTCTTCTGGCAAATCTCTCTTGACATGGACTCTCAGCCTTGACTCTCCACCTGTTAGGCCAGAGCTCATCACCCTCACCGAGGCATCACCTCCCACAGCGCTTCCATTGTACCTGTGTTATAACTGTTTACGCGTCTGCCTACGTTGGCTGCTAGGCTGTGAGCAATCTGAGTGCAGCAACTGAGCTATTTAATTTTTTAGTCTCCAGTCTAACCCAATGCTCAACACAATTCATTTCTAAAAATGAATTTGCCATATATTTCTATCATGGGTGTTATTCTTTAACAGCAAAAAGATACTATAATACACTTAAGAAATTTCTTTTTTGGGGTCTTTTAAAAATTGGTAACACTGAGGCAGATTGATTGACAAAGGGGATCTTTAAAGAGGGTCTAATGTGATGAAACTGTAGAATACAATCTTTAAGTACTTGAAATTGTCCCTTATAACTAGGTGACGATCAGGATCAGAGCCTGAGTCTGTCATTTATTGGCTATATTACCTCACCTTTGAGGTTGGCAAACTACAGCCCGAAGCCGGCTTGTTGACTGTTACTTATAGTCTTCAAGCTGAGAATGGTTTTTCCATTTTTTAAATGGTTGAAAAAATATCAAAACAAGAATATTTTGTGACATTAAAAATTTTTAGGAAATCCAATTTCAGAGCTCTAAGTCAATTTTATGGGAACACAGCCACGCTTGTTTATGTACTGCCCATGGTCGCCTCTGCCCCACAGTGGCAGAGGTGAGCAGTGACTGTGGCCATACGGCTCACAAAACCCACTTGACCGTTTACAGACGAGGCTTAGGGGCTCCTCCGTTAGACAATGTGATGTCACTGAACCTCAGGTTTTAAAAAATGGAAATAGTAACTAGTACCTCCTTGAGAGGACATGTCATAAGGGGTTTAAGCCCTCAAATGTAAGATGTTAGTATATCTAATTCACAACACCCTTAGGTATAATTTTATTACTGTTGTTGAAATTAACTATCTCAAAACTCCCTTCAGTAAATAACATTGAACTGTAATCACTTTTCAATATTCTCATAGTAAGAAGTATTTATGTAAAAAATATTTATTTTTTAATTATTAGAGCTGAATTATTAAATATAAGTGAACATGGAACAAAAAAGGTAGAATCTGGAAGGCAGACTAAAACTGATGTAAAAAGAAAAGGATTTAACCTTTAATGCCTACTGTCTCTTCCATTTAACTGTTTCAAATTTTATTGTATTATGAGGCATGTCTTACTTTTATTTCCATCTCCAAAATGTATGGTTACACAGCATTTAACAACATGAATGATGAATAAACATTCACTGAACTGAACTGAATTGAAACCAAAAATCCTCCGGGGGGATTAAAACAAAGCTACCCAGACTCCTTACTTAACTTTAGTTACCTACATGATATTTATTTGTTTAGAAGAAATAGAACAATTAAGACATTGATCCTGTTTCTGTCCTTGGCTGGTCTTTATTTGACACTGCCATGTTATTCTACCTCTCCTATTCTCTACAAAATACCACCTCACTTTAAAAGCACGTCTATTTCCTTTTGTAATGTGGCATGGAAACCCCACCACTTCATCTTCATGTTCACAGCCAGCAATATAGAGGTCATGTTTGATAATAATGGGGTGGGGCAACAGTCATTATGAAATCCTGCTGTCTCTGAATAAGGGTATCTCAGTGGGTAGTCCAAAGTCTTTCCAGGAAAGGCAAAGGCAAAGGCAAAATACATCTCCCTAAATATGCTCTTAGTTTACGAATTCTTGTTTATAGGACAATGAAGAAGTATTTTTTTAAAAAACTACTATAGTACTTCTATTTTTACTACAATGATAATCATACCTTATAAAAGGTCGTGTCACTGCAAGGATTGTTCTGATGAACCAGGATGGATGGACAATGATGAATGATTTCAAATTCTTCCGTAACCTATTTTGAAAAAAGAAAAAAAATTACTCCTAACCCACTTTCAGTGGAAATTAAAACAGAAAGTATATCCCCAAATAAGAATATATATAACATTAGACAGTTCAAGGCAAGTTACTGTTAACTGGAAGGTACATAATGCCTGAGATTAATAAAAAGAATACTTTTTTTTATGATCCAAACCTCATTTTCCGTTACAAATGAATGTAAAATAGAATGGTTATATTCTCGGAGTATATAAATCTATAACCATAGTGACATATTTTTACTTAATGATGTTTTTCATTTTTGTCAGCAATACCTTGACTATTTTGAAAAGAATACACTCTTACTGGCAGCCTAGCCAATTTGACTTCCTCTTTCGTGTAATAAAAATAGTAACAATGTATCATGTGGGTTTTTTTTGGCTTTCAGAGTGCCACTTCAATGGTTTTGATACTCAGGCATGTCTTCCACCATTAGCCATGCTACTTTATGAATGCTGGATCAGATCATTAGATGGATTTTAGTTAACAGAACATGGTACTCACATGTTGTCATACAAGAATCACATTTAAACCACATCTAAGAAGATGCCACACATATCATAGACATCATAAACTTACATATTTATTATGACAATGTCCTATAGATGAAAATAATGTGGTTTGTCCAATTAAAACCAGTATGGATGGAGGTAAAGCATCTGGAGGAAAGAGCAGGCAAAGGTACCATATGGGCCAGTGCTTAATTTGCATTAACAGTGAATGCTGAAATAAGAGCACAACATTTGCCCAAATCACAATAGTCCAGTACATGTAAATAGCATCAAGATCATGTGACATCAGTAAAGAATCCTGGATGCTTTGGTTTACCACCTCAAAGTGTACCTCCATGTGGTATTGGCATATGCATAGTTTAAAATAGACTTGGTCACCAGATTTGAGATGACAACATTTAACCAAGTCTGCGAAGGATTTGCTTTATTGCAGATTTTTGTGACAAGTTACCATTTTACTAATATTTTTATAACTTATTCATCTCAACTCCACATAATTCAATGTTCCTAAACTTTGATCATGTTTGGTAGATTAAAAGGATATTAGAAGTGGGGGTTATTGAGGAAGTGAAATTAGGGATGAAATAATGGAGCGCACGTACCGTCTATCAATCATCTGATAGCATTTCTTCATCCAGCCAAGCCCCGGCATCTTCCGTCTTGGGGTTGCGCCATTCAAGTACACAATCATATAGTCTTCAGCTACCATCAGCTCTAAAGTACTTATTACATATCTGATCACAGGAAGGAGAAGGTGTGTTTTCATTTCCCACAGGAAATGGTTCATCTTATTCACACCATAATTATATAACATTTAAATTACAGGGTGTATGACATTTAAGAACAGTTGTATTACCACTTCACCTTGAGAAGAATGCATATACCTAAGATCATTTCTCTGAGAGTGAGTATTGCTCATGTATTTTTATAGTTATCTTTTCCTTAAAATGCAGGTACATTTGAAAAATGTATGGGTTAGAAACCTGACTTTCAAAAATGTCAACAATAATGCATGATATAAATGAAGTCAGGTTATTATCAGTTGACTAAGAACATGTTATCGGGGAACAAAAACAACACTCACCCAAAAGAAATGTTAACGGAATTTTGAAAGGCAGGCCAAATTGTGTTCATTTTGTTTTCAATTCATCCAACTGATAAAAGAGCTCTTTTAAAATGTTGTAGCCTCTTGAGCAATGTTCCTTGACAGAGATTTCATTGACTTTTCATCAAAGGCTTAGAATATTCCATATCATCTATTTCCTTTTACTAAAGATGCTCTATCTGCCATTACATGCCCACAGCCATTAACTCAAAGCACTTGGTTGTAAGTATCACTCACTCACAGGAAAAGATTTTCCATGACATAGTGGTAATCCGCCCGACTGCTGTCTGGCAGAAAACAGGCGGCAAACACAATGATGGCATTTAGGCCGTCCCCATAGTACCCTGGGGACAAACAAAAAGACATTTGTGACCAATTCAAAGCTCTCAACAAGATAACATTTAACCTAAAGAATAAATCTGGAAGCCATGGCAGTGTGTATTTGTGGATGTAATACATGTATCTTTAAATGAGTATTATAAAGACTATACTTCTATAAGTATATGCACATAAAATTATCTTTCAGTGGTTAACATATATGTTATTTAGGTATAGTCTTAAATATATAGTGTGAATATATTTGATATATAAGGTATCCATGCATTATGGATAATTACATGTGTTGACACGGTCATGAATGGGGTGTATAAATATCAGCTTATCAAAGGTTGTGGGACAACACTTTTTGGCTTACGGAATCCTGACTTATGTAACAAAAAAGGTAATTTATATGACACTTCTTTCTTTAATGGCTAAGAAAGAGGTTCTGTCTGATTCTCTAGCTCTTTTTAGTTTCAGATCCCAGTTAATTTGAAGGAAAAATTTAGTCTTTGTAATGCAATACAACCGCAGACTCACTCACGCCACTGAGCAGACAGCTACAACACCTTCACTTTGATTTCGAGGACTGTGTGCTTGCCTGTAGTTTCCCTGGGGTCTCCAGATTGAACAGATAGTACAGGGGTACATGGAGAGTTCTGGACAGGCCTAGAATGACTCGGCACAGAATTCAGAGTCTAGTCTCTAAAAAGGGGCAAATCTAAAGAAGGGCCTGGTTGAAGCCTGCATCTATTGAGTTTTATGAAAATGTGTGCTTTGGGGAAAATCTGAGAATACTTCCTGGTATTGGGGAGGCTGGAAGTGCTATTTGCAGGTGGTGGTGAGAAAATAGGAGGCAGTGTGGCCACTGAAACTCCAAGTGTCAAGGAAAATGTAGAGACATCTCAGGACATTCTCCCCACTTTTGCAAGCTCTGCCCGACTCTTTGAGCAAGCTTTGTGTTCCCTCGGAGCTCATCTTTGAAACTCACAGCAGACGTCAAATCTCCACAGGTTGTATTTGGTGTCTCACATGTCTGCCAGACTTAAAAATGGAAGCAATACACTGTATTTTCCTTTTTTAATCTCCCTATTTCAACACTTGCAGTTTTTCCCATATAGCATTTCTGGACTTCAGAATCACTAAATAAAGACTTCCTCGATGCTTTGAGGAGGAAGACAGGCCACACCCTCAAGCCTGATCAGAACTCAGTGTTTCATTTTGTCAGAACTTTAAATACCCCTCTGTTGATTACATGGCAGTAAAATATGGGCTGGGTGTAGATTTGAATGGGCTTAACGCTTGAAAAGCAGTTTAATAAGATGTTCTCTATGAAGATAGAAAGTATGGCTCTGCCACAAAAGAGGTGGGGGAAGAGAGTGACATCAACCAAAAAAGATACCAAATTATGGGTTTGCTTGTATTAATAACCCGAGGTTGTTGTATACAGTGTGTGTGCTGTATATCTTAGAAGACGCTACCTATGTAACGATACACCTAACGAAACACATTTGCAAAACAAGGTTACAGAAGCTTCTCTCTGGATCTTCTGCTTGAGTTCCATCTTTTCCACATGTAGGTATTTACCAATTTCTTTTTAGAATGCAGTATGCAGGAAAATGCAGGGGAAGATACATTTTAACACACAATGTGTTTATTCCACAAGCAATTTCATTTAAGATTCATAACTGAATGGAAATTCACAAAGGATAGGGTGGCTTAGCCTGCACCAGTCCTAACATCACAAAGGTATGCAGTGCAGACTCAGCACAACAAACAAGACTGAATTCATTAAAAGCGACAACAGACATAATGAATCCAACTTAAAAGCAGATAGGAAAGGATCCTTTCAAAACCATCTTTCTAAATGCAGCTTTCTGGTTCCAGGATGTCAGCATAATTTCAAGATCATGACTGCTCAGTTACGTTCATTTTTTTTTTTCCTGTTTCTGGGGAATTTCTAAGAAAAAAAAATTTTTTTAAAGGGAAGACTGAGGTTTATAAACAGTACTTGAGGAATCATCTTAAATGGCAGTTCAGCTCTTGGTGTCAATGCAATCTGTCCTTGCAGTGTGATAGTGTTGAGTTCACTCAGATTCATTGAAGCCAAGGATACTTAAAGATGAACTTACCACTGCTTGAACATTGTCTACATCAGGAAGGTCTCTTTGTATGACAATAACTGAAATTTGCAAATGAAGATGGACTTTTGTACTTTTGGGCAGAGGAACTATAGGAAGGGAAGAAGAGGTAAGATGGAAGACAACAGGAGAGGAGGAAATGTAAAATGTAAGAAAGCAGCTGGCAGAAAAAGATTTCTTCGTGGAAGTTTTCCTTCTGAATCAAGAGCTGGTGCCGTGGTTGTCAGTTCTTTGGAGGTATTTCAGAGAGCAATTGCAGGCAAAGTGCAACAACTAGAATGAGGAGGACTATTCACTTTTTGTCCCTCGGAGATGCCTTTCAGAGGGTCAGCTAACCCAATTTCTATTCTACATATGCAGCTTAATCAAGTGAGGTTTCCTGTCAGCAACTGCCTAACTCCATTGAAGTTTGGTTTTTTAAAAACGTGCATTTCATCAGACTCTCTTCTTAGTAATGGGAGGCGACTTCAGGGTGTGTGTGCTGAGGTGCATGAGCATTCCCACCGGGGGGCCTCCTGAGACCCTCTCAGGCAGTGATGTGACCCTTACCTGAGGCAGAACACAGAGGCATGAAAGGGATGGAACACAAGTGTGCTGGCCACCAAATGGAATGGAGAGAGAAGGAAAGACGGCAGTCGCAACCAGAACACGCACACACACACACCAGCCTGCAACTCCGCATTCTTTCCAGGATCATTTGTCCAGCAACTCTGCAGAGAAGTTACCTGAATCTCCTATAATGAATAAGAGAAGTAAAAACACAAAAAAGGAATGTAATACTTCGGTATGACCGTCCTTGGTTATTTAAATGTGTTCTTTGCTCCAAGTTCAAAAAAAGTTCTCCGCTCCAGTTTCTGGTCTCAAAGTGCCCCCACACTGTTGATCTAAACCACCCAGACCTCTCTGCCTTTTTATTTAAACAGGTGGCAGGATTATAGCTCCTGGGCTCATTGGAGGTGACACTGGCTTTGAGATCACCCTCTTTTGGCTGATGAAGTCATTGAGGCCCCAGGAAGTTAAGTGATGGTCACAGACAAATTAGCGGCAAAGATGTATCTTGAACTCTGTCCTTCTACATTGTGTCCAGGGCCCCTGGTAATAGTGCATTTTGAGGTCACCAAAGCTGAAGACTGAATTATTTGTTCAAATACTGCTCTCACCCACCCACCGATATTCCCAACTGGTGTGGACACGGGGTGGGACTCAGCTGTGCAGCTGACTCGGAGACCCCTTTCATCACAAAGTTGTGCTACGCAGAGCACTGGACAGTGGCACTTCTCTACTAGCCCGAATGGGAGACCTTCCTCACAGCAAAATGCAAGACACCAAAACAAGATTTATGTTCTCTCCAGAGGGCTGCTTTTTAAATGCTCATCAGAAGCCGGGATGACACACTCAGCAGACCGGTGACTGAGGACAGTGCTTTATCACCACTCAGGTCTGTGAAAGTGGTGTGAGCTCCCAACGCAGCAGGCAAAGCTTTGCAAATTCAGAAGTAACACTGAGCTATCTTTACTTACAGAGTGCAAAAGCTGTTAAGGGTGTGGGAAGAGGTGGTATCTTGCTAACGTTCCGGAGGCTGCAAGCCAGGGGCATACTCATGCAGGCCGGCACCTGGAGAAGGCCGAGGCGGAGCTGGGGACAGGCAAGGGGCCCTTGTCTTCCAAACAAACCAGGCAGTCACGCAGATATGAACTGAGCTCGCAACACAGAATGGAGAGAAGCAGTGCTGGTGGGGAGGATGTAGGGATGAAGGGCACAGCAAACCAGGCTGCCCGTGAGGTGTCAGCTGCATATTCCCAAGGACTGTGACAGGCAGAGCTGTGGCTCTTTTGACCCCCATGTGCTGATGGTGATCACTCTCTCCTGAGTCTAGCAATAGACCCAAGTGCTCACCCCACCTATTCCTCCCACTGATTTCACTGTGGTTGAAAGAACAAGCCGGTGAGTTTACTAGGGTAGAAAGAGATAATTTGGCCTTAGGATAGCAGCGAAGCAATGAGCCTGCCCTCTTCACAAGAAAGGAACTCTTGGTCTAAGACATGGGTGGTTAAAATGTATGGGGATTATTACTGGGGGACTGATTTACTTTGACAGACTTCTACATTTTTTTGTACTTTTTAGAAGGAGCACAGGCTACTTTTTTCTTCAGCCTTAGTTTTCTTTTTATTTCCAAAAAGCAAACAAACCAAAAACACCTGATGGGTGTTGCAGGGGAGGTACGACCTGGGAAGGTCTGGATTGATGTTCATATGGCAGTTTTCATCCTAGGAACAGAGGGCTGACTCTAAGGCTGACTGGCTGTTACTTCAGCATCAGCTCTCATTCTGCAGGGCCAGGGCAAGTTTCCCCTTAGAGGACACTGCCCCCTGCCTCACAGCGCCATCACTGGGCCATACCACTATTCCGGGTCACACAGTGGGGCAGGAGGAAGGAAGGACATGGCCCTGGGCATCTACACTCATTTTCCTTCACTATGATAGTCAGAGTCCCTGGTGGAGGTAGCAACAGATGGGATGGAAGGTGGAAAATCTGCTAGCGGAGGGAAGTTTAGCTGGAAAACAAAATGTCCTTTTGCTTGTTAGAAAACAAACACTGTGGGTTTAATGCAGTGCAAAGGCACCTCATTTGCTTCCTTATTAAGGAAAAGCATGATGGTTGCCTTGCCAGCTTACACTTCTTCTGGAACAGCTGGGTGGTTAGGGCGCTGTCTCGGGACCGCAGGAAAGCAGTGCATGCAGTGGAAAACCCCAAAAGCCATTTATATTCTCTGAAGCTGACAACATTAAATGTGTTGCCTGTGCTCATCTGACTTCTTATGAACCCCAAATGAATCAAGACAGCACTGGAAATATACAACACAGCTTTTCTCTGCCCCTGCTTCCTCAGTAAGCAGGTGGAGGCTTGGACTGGAAATGCCTGTTGTCAGGCACAGATGTAATGGAGTTTACAGAGGAGCAAACTTCAGGTAGGAGGGAAAAGGTGACCAGGCTGAGTCTAAAAATACTTCCTAAAGCTTCTGAAGAGAATTCAAAAGACCGTTTTGTATTTAGAAGCACCTCTGCCCAACTGTCTGTCACTTTCAGCAAAATTTAGGCCCACTCTCATTCTGCAGGGCTAGGGCAAGGTTCCCCTTAGGGGACACAGCCCCCAGCCCCAGAGCACTATCACTGGGCCACATTGCCATCCAGGTCCAACAGTGAGGCAGGGGAAAGGAAGGCGTCACTATAGGCCAGGATGGTGTGGACTCGACAACAATGCAATGAAACCCTACAACCGACCCCTATGAATTCCAGACAAACATTATTAAATTGGACAGCTGTGGCTTTCCAGAACTTTGCACTGAAGATTATAGCCATCAGATATGTGAAAAGCACTTTTTACACTGGAGACTTATTTTTGCATAGCAGGCTTTTCCCATGTTGATTGAATTGAGTAGTCGTTCATATACTTAGCTCTACAGTCCCCCAACCACTGACTGTAGAATAGGGTCTTTGGGATGTCATGCTGCAGAGAACCCTAGTTTTCTTTTTTAGTAAAAGCAATATGGCTGCCCCACTGCCCCATTCCCAGATCTGCACAGAGCTTGACTACCTCCATGAGAAATGACTCTCCTGTAGGGTTCGATGACCTTCATGTCAATCCGCTGCTCTTGTTCTCCGATCACCACCGTTCTCCACAACCGGTTGTCCTCCCGCTCCTCTTCCGCCGTATATTCTGGAATCGACTCTGACTCTTGGCCAGAATCTTTGTTGGCTGTGGGGTCCTCTGGAAATGAAGCACAGAGCAGGCCTGAAGGAGAAAGACCTCAGCAGCGGAGGTGATTCCGTGACTAGCTAGCCGCTGGCAGAGTCGACCTGATGGATTCCCTGTTCTGTGTGACTCGTGCAGAGCTTAGCTTACCACCACCCTGACCACACGAAGGACGCTCAGTGAGACCTTAGCTGATGGAACAATCGGATGCACTGCTGAGGCCAAGCTGAGGGTGGGTATAGGTGCAGGGCTAGAGCTGACTTGTGTAGGTAGAGATGCAAGCAGGGGATAGGCTGGTACTCATTCCTTCTTGATCATACAGGTTGAAAACAACATGCCTTTCTTATGGGAAGGGCTGTAATTAGGCCAGCATAACCTTGCTTCCCTTGGGCCACGGCTCCTGGCATACCCTGAGCGCTCAGAGGCTTTTGGGGGCCTCAGCTTAGTGTCTTGGTGATATTTAGTGGCTTTGACGCTTACAATGGACTTGAATCCTCTTCCCTATTGGGAGCACATCTGGATGTACGTTTGATATTATTGCCTATGGAGTTTTCCAAATGTTACAGAAAGATTTTACAGCAAGGAGAAGCAAAGAACTTTGTCGACCAGAAATGTTCCAAGGCCAAAAATTCACACGACTCCTATGTGTGGGTGCACAGGGCAATTAAAAAATCCACTGAGCATTCATAGGGGAGAAATTTACTATCTAGTCTTGTGCAACCATTTTAAGTGTTTTAAAATAAGCAGCAATTATTTCCATTTTTACTTCGGATACTAGTAGATATGTTTAATATTGGTTATTCTTTGTATGTGTAAGTTATTTGAAGGAGAAGATTATTTATAACCTTCACAATAATCCTGTGAAATATTATCATTCTTATTTTTCCATTCATGGGAAAGGTCCTTTGATTTACACTGCTCTTATCTTCTTTCTACGGCACTTTGACAGTAGTAATGGCAATACTTTATTAAGTATCTATCATGTCTCAGGCACAGTAGTAGGTATTATAGTGGCCATTATACCCATGCAAAAACTGACTTTGAAGTAGTTTGCCTCAAATCACAGACATCAGTTAGCTAAGTCAAACCCTTATCTTTCTTTTCCCCTCCTATAAGCTATCATATTAAACCTTGAAAGTGTGATTGTCTCATTCTAGTTTATTTTCCTCTGAATCTACTGGTTTCTTGCGTTGAGGAATTGTGTCCGAATCACCTATAATACTCACTCTCCCCAACCTACCCCATACTTAGTTTGGAAACCTGTACAGAACACTCAACAAAAATTGGGAGGTAAGGGGGTAAATACAGGAAAGCATGGACAAGTTCCTGAAAATAAAGGTAATCTAAGGGAGCCACAACAAAGCCATTCTGTTCTGGAAGACTCCTCAAGATGCATTCAAATGTGTCTGATTGCCTGTGACTCAGAATAGCAAAATGAAGTTCAGCTGGGAAGCAATCTAAGCGTTTTCTGCCAACACCGACAGCTACACCACCTACAGAGCCTTGCCTCACTCTGGCTTCCTCTGTGTCCCCACCAGCGCTCAGCAGCTAACTAAGGATGGCAAGAAGCAACCGTTGGCTTCAGATCAAACACTGTGTCACTGGTGCACATCCATCGCTCTGCAGTGGACTCATCTGGAATCCCTTCCTGTGTCTCTCCTTCTACTTGGCACAGTGCCCTTAGATGCTCATTTTAACTCCCTTCCCAGGACCCTGCTTTCCAACTGGTCTCTGCTCCCTCAGAGCTCCGGGCTCTGATGTAGACTTCTCCTCCATGCTCCTGGACACATATGCTCTTCCCTGCCATGAATTCACCACCCACCAACCCCTCTTCATCCTGTTTGGGACTTTCTGGCCTGCTCTAGCTTGACCCAGTTGATCTGTGTGGGATTGTTTGTTTTGTTTGCTTCATGCTTTTATAGAGGCTACCGTGTCCAAAAAAAAATTTTGTATACGATATTCTTTTTCCTGGTTATAAAAAAAACCACACTAATAAAAGTACAAGCAATAAAGAAATTATCTGTAAAAACAGCAAAGATTACCCTTATCACTCTATTATTGTTTGCTGGCATATTCTTTTTCTATGTGCACGCACACACACATACTTCTTTCCCCCAAAAGTAAGATGATTCCATTTATTCTGCATGCTCTGTATATACTGTTCTACAATGTGCTCCTGCCTAGTAATGTAGCATAGGCTTCTTTACAGTGAATATAAACTCTATGATCATAGAATATTTCATTTTACTGATGTCTTCTGGTTTGTTAATCCTATAGTGATGGAAATTAAGAGACAGCTGGCAAGTTGCTAAAACCCCTTTTCCTTCCTCACCTCTTCTGGTTGACATAAATGGGCAAAGGAAATTATTCATGAGCTGGCGGTATATAGTAAATTCTCTTCAGGTGTTTATTTCTAGAAGTCAACAACACAAGCTAGTAAGAAACAAAGATCACTTTACTTACTCCCTTAAATTAACAATAACCTCCTGATCTTAATAAATCTTCTGCTACAATGATAAATTGCCATCCTTTCCCCAGTCATCATTTGAGCACTGCTGTAAAAACTGTCAGGTCTCATTTAACTCTCCATCCTCAGGGCCTCCAAAAATTTAATTTTTGGTCTCATGTCCTCTTCACTATGAAATGCTAGATTTTCTTCATTTCCTTTTCTCAAGACCAAGTTTTTCTCCCTGTTGACTGCTGAAGTTTAAGCCCTAGTACACCAGGGAGAAGTCAACCTGAACATTTTCTTTTGTCTCTCGTGAGATGATACAATACACAAATTCAACGAATGTCCTGAACTATACAGACCCGAGTGGGGAATCTATTGCTGATGTTCCTTGTCAGCTGTGGCCTTCTGGTAGGGACATACATCTGTGAAAGGTGACTAGCTTTCTATATTGTGATCTTGCACTGATAATGTGAATAATCTTAGAAGACATTATGTTTGAACTTTGTTATGTTAGAGGAAATACATCCTCTATACACTTGAGTCTCTAAAGGTCTTTTGGTGACAAAGAGCAGGCTGCTAGTTAATTTGAATGTAAAAACTCAGCATACGAACATACAAAGAAAAATCTTTTCCGACCACACCATTATGGCATAAAGTTGCTTGTAAGTAAAAAAAAAAATAAGCTTGACACTTGATTAGTTTATAAGCAGAGTTAAAATAGAACTGATTTTATAAGCTGGTTGCCTTCAGGCTGTGAAAATAATTAAAGACTGTAGTTCAGGAAGTTAAATGAAGTGACTCTCTGATTATCTAAACAAATGTGGGGGTACCTTATTTATATAGAAAACTGTGCTATTAGGGGCCAGTTTTAGAAAAGATAGTTTAAATTAGGTCACTAAACATCACTTAGGAGCCTAGAAAGAAAAAATAGAAAAGCACATGAGTATTTCTTATAACATTCTTATCAGAAATATTCAAGCTAAAATTCTTTATCCTTTTTCCATTCCCCTTCTGAAATAACTTTGCTGAGATCTTAATATGTAAAAAATAACTCTGTGGTTGGTTTGGAAAACAGAAATAGGTGATCATTTTTTTTTTTTACCTTTGGATATTTTTAAGTTTCTAGTATTAGTATAAAAGAGCATTAAAAAAAAAAAGCTGAGGTCTCCCTTAATATGAAAGACTGGCTTCCTAAATCCTTCACTATCTACAGATTTCTGACATCCTGACTTGTAAATATCAAAGGAAACTAAGTCTTAATTATATCGGTATGTTGAATGATATTTTCCAACTATTTGCACACAATTATTTAAAAAAATGGCCTGAAAGTGAAGACTAACATCTTTTGATAGCGAGGTTCAAAAATTTTCTATAAACAAAAGTCACACTGTGGGCACATACCTGGCAGGAATGTTTTGTCATTTGCTACCGAGTAAAATGGGCAAATGGCATGAAAATCCTTCTAGCATTTGGTAAAATAAGAGCCCTGGAGTCATGAAGATGACTGTATAAAAGGGCATGTGAATCTGAGGGGGCCTTTCAGGCTTCTTTGCTTCAGGTATGTTAGCCTAATCTAGTAAAGACCCTCTTCGGTTCATTGGCAGTATATTTATGGAAACGCAGCACAGCCGGGGAGTCAGGACAACTGTGGGTTTGAATGCTGGCTCTGACATCTATTAGATATAGGACCTTAGCTAAACTATTTAACTGCTCTGTGCCTCAGTGTTCACACCATAAAATGGGGGAAACATAATACCTATTCATAGAGTTGACATGAGGATTAAAACAGTTAATATTTATCAAGCAGTTAGCACAGATCCCGGCACACAGAAACACTATGAAAGTGTTTACTAAACAAAATAAACTACCGACCAGACACATTTGAAACACTGTGCCTTAAAAACTCCAAGGTCATTCAGAATATATATATGCCTAATGCCTAGTTCAACATGCTCACACAGAAACCTCCAGAACATGCAACTTTCAAGCATTTAGTCTTTCTTTGGGATTAAAATATACTCTGACCCTCTTATACAGTTATCTATGTCTGCTTGTTTATAAAATGTAGCTCCTCAGATGGACTTGGGGTTTTCAATGTTTAATAGTTTTATTTGTTTGTTTAAAAGTGTCTGAAAATACATTGTTCATCTGCAAATCAGGATGGACTATAAATTCCACTTACGTTAAAATTCTGTCCTTTGAATTTAAGACCTAAAAGTAGGTTTGTGGCTGTTAAACCGGTTCTTTCAACCTAGCTGTGTGGACTAACTAAAAAGAACTATGTCAGCCAGTGGCAGCTTTAATTACCAGTTTACTTAGCCACTACCACTTTGCTTGACAGTTTTACTATTTATAAAAATAAAGGTTCAGATGTGGTGTGACATAGCCCTCCAGGGCAACAGGGAAGTACAGGGGGAGCTTAAAAGGGATTTTTTAGTCAAGGCATAATTCTTACATGTGAGAATTTATTAGCAGGAAAAGGGCTGGGGCAGCTGAGATGTATGGAGTAGCTGGAGAAGAGCCTCTGAGATGGTAAAAATGACTATGAATTCAAGGCCTTCTTTCTTCTCCTGTTTATGTATTTCAACTTGCAGGGCCAAATACCCAGATAACTATAGAAATTCAAGAAGAAGACATTCAAGAACATGATGAAAGTGCAACATAAAATCTCTATTTAAACGTAATAACTGTAGGACAAGTAATTCAGCTACTTCTTTTTTTAACTTGAGGAAATGAAGCCTTATCCTCTGGGAAGGCTGAGTCGCAATCTTGCTGGTCATCATTGCTGCCTCAGTAGCTCAGTGATCACTGGTTGAATGAATTAACTAATGTGATGAACTTCCTAATTTCCTACTTATGTCTCCTATGAATGACACTGTCAGAATTAACATGGCTCTAAAATTCAGGACACCATTTAATTGTGGTTTTTCTTTTGGACTAGAATAATTTTCACAATGTGTAAAAGCAATAGCTATAGTCAGGATCCTCTCATTTTCGATTCCAAGTATTATAAACTTAGGGAATTATACCCTGTAAAATGGAAACTGTATGATGTCATTTTAAAAATCAAATGATTAGTATCTGTATGTATTTCTTATCAAACACAATTTCACTAGACAAGAGAAAGACTTAAAATGAGACTGGTATTTATTTATATCAGGAGTGTTTGATTCATCAACTTTAAATTTTCTTCCTTTTTATTCTTTCCCTACCACACCCAGCCCCATGCCTCCTTCCTTCCTACTTAAAGGAGATAGAGCAGCAAATATAATAAGGTTCCTACTTTCATGGAGTGGATATGACAGTAAACAAACAGTTGAATGATATGATTTCCATTTAGTGACATATAGAAAATAAAATGAATGCTGGGACAGAAAGTGACTGGGTGGGGTGGGGAGTGCCTTTGATTAATCAGGTGACACCTGATTAAGATCTGAATAAAGGGAAGGCACCCGCCATGTAAGGACCTTTGGGAAAGAACATTCTGCAAAGTGGGAGCTTGCACAAAGAAATTGGGAAACTCTAATTGCTCCCCTTCAAATTTTATCTTCAGATTAAGTTCTCTTTCTCTGAAAACCCAGCTCCAATTTTCTTGTACCATGTAACAATTTTCCCACAGCCCCAGCATAAAGTCTGGCATACAGTAGGGGTTTAACAAAGGAGCAATGGCTATGCGTGACCTCTATGAACCACACCGATTCTGTCAAGCTCTAAACGGTCAATCAAGGCCACCTATGACCTGAGATACAAACAGAAGCTTCTAGAAATTATAGAAAGAAGCCACCAGCAACAACAAGGGAGGTTTGTTCCTAATGCCATTTAGAGACTCTTTCACTTTTCACCTAACTTTGGCCACTTACCATGCCCAGTGTATTCAAAAGAATCTGCTTCATCAGGGGTATCCAGTTCATCCACATTGATATCAATTTCATCTGGACTGTCCAGGTTATCGTCAGAGAGAACAGATCCTTCACTTTGGTCCAGAGAAAGATTGATATTTGGAGCTGTGAGCTTGATTCTCCGAGGATGACTGCCATTAAGATCCAGAGAATTAGGAGGTTCTAACAAAGAAAAAGAACAGCAGCAAGTATTAGACCACATGTGTGGCTGACAACAGCGGGTGTGGGCCCCAGTGAAAAACACTCCTAAGGCCCTTTCATCAAAGGTCCACCTGGCAAAACCCTTCCCTGGGATTTGGACCCCCGTCTTCAGCAGCAGGCCTCAGGGCTGGCTCACTCCTGCCATACCAGCCCTGGCCGTGTAGAAATAGGAAGTAGGAGCCATCGCTAAATGGGCGGAACACTAGTTTTTAGAACTGCCCTGCTCAAGTTGGAGAACTTAAATGAATGGAATTTTTATGGTGTATAAAAAAAACAGTTAAGTGTGTGTGTATATATATATATATATCTTACAATGGTTCACATAGACTTCACTCCTATGAAATGGAGGATAAGACTTTACCTCTTACATCCAGACACCCGCAAAACACTTCTCTTCAGTCCCTGACAACTCTGTGTGTGATCTACAATGGACTTCCTTTGGCTGGCAGTCTTTTGTATAAAGAAAATGGAGGTACCCTCCCAGATCCCATCCCTTCACCAAGCAGTCAGTACCACTTCTGCCACCATTGCTTGACTTGGTTCCCACAGCATAAACGACGGCCTTATGTTAGGGGGCGGGGAAGTAGCCCCCACCCTTTTATTGTAATATGCATCTTGCTGCTCTTGTGCCCTTCCCTTAACAGCAACAGAGCTGGAAGAGTCATTTGTTACCAAGTTGAGCCCAACTCAACAATTGCAGAGAGATGGCCTAAAAACAGAAATTTCAGGATTCCTTTACCACAAAATATTGTTAAGGCCGTCTGGCTACCCTCAATTGTGTAATTCTAACTTTGGGCTTGTCCTAAGGAAGCTGGCACTGTTTCTCTGTCATTGAGATCTTTTTTTTTCTGAATAGAACATCATTCCAATTGTGTCCCAGTGAATGTTTTTATGTATTACTTGAAAAAAAATTTCTATTGTCCAGTGAGTTTGAAAAACCTTAGGTTTTTATCTCATACAAATTCTCAGAGCAGTGCTGAGATAATGTATTTATGATGACAGAAATGTTCTATATATGGCTCAAGCACTGGAGCCAATCTAACTGAAGAACTGAACTTTTCTAATTTATTTTCAATTTTAATTAATTTAAATAGCCACATGTGGCTAACTGCTATAACCAGACCCTTAGTGCCTTTGATATTCAGAAGTGCATTGTGACCTTGAGGAGTGGAGTAGTCATAGAGCGGCTGTCATGCTTTTTGGTCATAAAACATTTAAAAATAATTATGTCACACATGACTGGTATTTAGAAGAATGCACATTAAATACTTAGAAAGAAAAAAAATCGACTCCCTTCTTATTTCATTGTAGAATTGGCTGATAACGTCAGGATTTAAGATTTCTGTATGATCTTGGTACAGTGCAAAGCAGTGACTCTAGTACAGACTACAGACTAGGTTGCAACTGAAACTGTAAGATTTCTTTTTGCATATGCCTTGGGTTGTAAACCTTAGAGGGCAGGATTTTTTTGTTTTTGTTTTTTAATAAACCAGGATACTGAGCATTGTGTAAGTTCTCTTTCTCTGAAAACCCAGCTCCAATTTTCTTGTACCATGTAACAATTTTCCCACAGCCCCAGCATAAAGTCTGGCATACAGTAGGGGTTTAACAAAGGAGCAATGGCTATGCGTGACCTCTATGAACCATACCGATTCTGTCAAGCTCTAAACGGTCAATCAAGGCCACCTATGACCTGAGATACAAACAGAAGCTTCTAGAAATTATAGAAAGAAGCCACCAGCAACAACAAGGGAGGTTTGTTCCTAATGCCATTTAGAGACTCTTTCACTTTTCACCTAACTTTGGCCACTTACCATGCCCAGTGTATTCAAAAGAATCTGCTTCATCAGGGGTATCCAGTTCATCCACATTGATATCAATTTCATCTGGACTGTCCAGGTTATCGTCAGAGAGAACAGATCCTTCACTTTGGTCCAGAGAAAGATTGATATTTGGAGCTGTGAGCTTGATTCTCCGAGGATGACTGCCATTAAGATCCAGAGAATTAGGAGGTTCTAACAAAGAAAAAGAACAGCAGCAAGTATTAGACCACATGTGTGGCTGACAACAGCGGGTGTGGGCCCCAGTGAAAAACACTCCTAAGGCCCTTTCATCAAAGGTCCACCTGGCAAAACCCTTCCCTGGGATTTGGACCCCCGTCTTCAGCAGCAGGCCTCAGGGCTGGCTCACTCCGGCCATACCAGCCCTGGCCGTGTAGAAATAGGAAGTAGGAGCCATCGCTAAATGGGCGGAACACTAGTTTTTAGAACTGCCCTGCTCAAGTTGGAGAACTTAAATGAATGGAATTTTTATGGTGTATAAAAAAAACAGTTAAGTGTGTGTGTATATATATATATATATATATCTTACAATGGTTCACATAGACTTCACTCCTATGAAATGGAGGATAAGACTTTACCTCTTACATCCAGACACCCGCAAAACACTTCTCTTCAGTCCCTGACAACTCTGTGTGTGATCTACAATGGACTTCCTTTGGCTGGCAGTCTTTTGTATAAAGAAAATGGAGGTACCCTCCCAGATCCCATCCCTTCACCAAGCAGTCAGTACCACTTCTGCCACCATTGCTTGACTTGGTTCCCACAGCATAAACGACGGCCTTATGTTAGGGGGCGGGGAAGTAGCCCCCACCCTTTTATTGTAATATGCATCTTGCTGCTCTTGTGCCCTTCCCTTAACAGCAACAGAGCTGGAAGAGTCATTTGTTACCAAGTTGAGCCCAACTCAACAATTGCAGAGAGATGGCCTAAAAACAGAAATTTCAGGATTCCTTTACCACAAAATATTGTTAAGGCCGTCTGGCTACCCTCAATTGTGTAATTCTAACTTTGGGCTTGTCCTAAGGAAGCTGGCACTGTTTCTCTGTCATTGAGATCTTTTTTTTTCTGAATAGAACATCATTCCAATTGTGTCCCAGTGAATGTTTTTATGTATTACTTGAAAAAAAATTTCTATTGTCCAGTGAGTTTGAAAAACCTTAGGTTTTTATCTCATACAAATTCTCAGAGCAGTGCTGAGATAATGTATTTATGATGACAGAAATGTTCTATATATGGCTCAAGCACTGGAGCCAATCTAACTGAAGAACTGAACTTTTCTAATTTATTTTCAATTTTAATTAATTTAAATAGCCACATGTGGCTAACTGCTATAACCAGACCCTTAGTGCCTTTGATATTCAGAAGTGCATTGTGACCTTGAGGAGTGGAGTAGTCATAGAGAGGCTGTCATGCTTTTTGGTCACAAAACATTTAAAAATAATTATGTCACACATGACTGGTATTTAGAAGAATGCACATTAAATACTTAGAAAGAAAAAAAATCGACTCCCTTCTTATTTCATTGTAGAATTGGCTGATAACGTCAGGATTTAAGATTTCTGTATGATCTTGGTACAGTGCAAAGCAGTGACTCTAGTACAGACTACAGACTAGGTTGCAACTGAAACTGTAAGATTTCTTTTTGCATATGCCTTGGGTTGTAAACCTTAGAGGGCAGGATTTTTTTGTTTTTGTTTTTTAATAAACCAGGATACTGAGCATTGTGAAAATCACATTTCTAATTTTAAACATTCTCTCGCTTAAGTACAAATTTAGTGACCTTAGATGATAGTTAGAATTTGGTATTGTGATATATGTAGCCAATTATCACAGGAACTCACAATGTTGGTAGATACAGCTGTGGTTCAGGAGATAAAGGTAGCCCACACTGGTGAGCATCAATATTCAAGTCAACTCTGAAATTAACCAAATGGAGCCTAACACCTTCCTCACACATATATATTTTTTTTTCTCTCTTCACTTTTATCACGGAAATCACAAGTTGGATGCATAGGAAATAATTCTCTCACTGCATAATGAAAATGTTTGGATACAGAATACCGCTGAAGGAAATGAACAAATGCTCCTCTCACCCGGCCTCATGTCTGCAGCACTGGGACTCAGCATGCCCTCCTCAAAGGGGATGTCCATTCCTACATCCTCTGAGGGTGGTCTGAAAGAAAACACAGCAGAGGGTGTGAAAAATCGTGTGGGATTTAATTTCCATTGAAAAGGAAACCTAGAGATTCCAGGGTAACATTTTCAACTCCCTTGGAATAAACCAAGTCTGTGTACTGAATCCATAGCAAGTGACCCCAAATTAGAATAAAGACCTCCTGCAGTGACTATAAATGAGAACCATGGACTCCAGTTTTACTCTGTACACAGAGCAAGCCACTTCTACCAGCTCACATAAGTAAACACACACTGAGTAAAAAAATTCAGAAACGGGAAAAGCAAACAACTAATAAAATATCCTTAAGGGAGCATTTAATATATATATTTTTTTCAACAAGAGAGGCAGTATATATATGCTTTGGAGTTAATCCAGGCCTAACTTTGTATATCTTTCCTCTTCTGTAAATCTGAGCATGTTACTGAAACTGCTGTGGGCAGAGGAAAGCATCTCTGCTGATCTCATCTGCTTTATTTGTAAAGTAGAGATACACCCCCTACCTCAATGAGTTGCTGAAAGATTAAGCAACGACTATAAAGTGCCTCATACTCCTGAGGAGGTACCAGTTCTTATTATTTCCATTCCTTCTTTGATTATTTAAAGATTCATTGTGAATTATATGTCCCTGAAGATGGTTCTGGTCATGAGTTACCATCTCTTTGAAGTCTCTATTTGGCATTGAGCCTAGGACCATTCCTGGGAGCCCATTTGGTAAGACAAGTAGAGGAGAATAGGAAAATACTGGAGAGACTGTGACAAATCTACATGCGTTTATAGGGAGCTGCCCATTGCCCATACTGAATTCTCCTTGACTTATTTTTATCTCCTGTCCCTTGTTCAGCAAATCCCTATTTATCACAGTAAATTTTTTTTCTTCATGGTGACTTCTATATAATTCCACTCATCTAGGGTAACTCCTTGTGATGTAGGCACTAACCTAAATTTAAATATGATAAACCTTTGCATTAAAGTTCTTAACTGGAACCCTCTCTTCCTGTCTTACTGAGACTTCTCCCCACTTAAATCTGGGGCCGCCAAATATCTGGATGATCAATTTCTCCAGGTTCTAAGTTAAACTCCTGATTGGCAACAAAATACTATGAATGAAAACAAAATTGGATGTTACAGTGATAATTGTTCTTGCTTCAAATATGTACTGAGTGTCCACTAGGGACTGAGGATATAGAGGAACATAAGAGGCCAGCCTTGCTCTTGTGGTAGACGGGAACACACGGGTGAAAATGACGATGAGAGCAGTAGGGCCTGGGTCCTTGCCTGCCAGTGCCATAGACCCTCTGAAACCACAGCCTCACGCAGTTTCTTTCTCTATCTCCTTGCTGTGGCTTCTCTCCTGTATGTTCTCTAAATGGAACCCTGCATCCTAGCAGACCAATGGGTGAGAGATTGACATGGGCATCAAAGGCAATAGTGTGTTGGTAGTAACAAGATGACTCATGCCACACAGACACACACCATGCCAGGTGGCACGGAACCAAACTGTCCAGCAATGGAGGTGGGAAGGGTGAGCAAAGAGAGGGCCTGAGCTAGACCCCAACTTTGAATGTCATGGGGCCCAGGGAGACAGATGTCTGGTGTCCCATGCTGCTGCAGTGTTTAAGATTCCTTACAATGATACCTTGGCATCTTAAGTAATCTGAGTGTGTTCTCCTTGAAGTCAACTGTGCAGTACCTAGAAAGTAACAAAACACTGCTGTTAAAAACAGCTGGATTCAAATCTTAGCTCTGTTTCTTACTGTGTGTCATGTGGTAAGTTATTTAATCCTTCTGTGCCTCAGTTTATTCACCAGTAAAAGGGACAGAATGTGCAATGCCTGAAAACAACACTGAAAGAAAAAAGATGTTATCATACTACTGTAGTTCTTTTTGCCACCTGTTATAACTGCCTTCTCCTTTAGCCTTGAAGCTTCACGAGAACACGAACCGTGGCTGTCTTTTGCACTACTATGTCTCCAGTACCTGGCAGAAGTAAATACCCAACAAATATGTGTTGGATTGAATCATTGAGCTTGACATACACTAAATGCACATGTGCATTATTTTTTCATCCTCAAGGCAGACATCATGTCATCAAAAAAGGAAGGAAAGATATCATATCCCTACCTGCTTCACAGAGCACCTAAGGGTGCTAGCCTTCATTCCCAAGTAAATACAAAGGTCTTCAAAATAGAGGCAGACTTAAATTTTTGTAGTTTTTGTTAATGTTTATAAGTTATGGGCAACTTAATAGAATATTGAAAGAGTTCTACATATGATGTTATAGTTCTACTGTTAGTACTAACAAGCTGATTAACCTTGAGAAAATTAGTTGACCATCTTCTGTGATTTTAAATGGAGATAGTAAATACCTAACATCACTTGACTGTGAGAATAAACATAATACTTATGAAAGTACTTTGTAAATTACAAAGCATTGACTGGGTTTAAGGTATGACATTCCCTCATTTTAAACATAGTATCAGGATCAGTGGTTTAACTGAAGTATGTGTCATGGCTGGACAAAACACAATTAAAGTTACTACAATTAGGATATTAGCCTAGGTAAGAGAAAATTTCAGTACCACAAAAATCTCCATAGAGCCTAGAAGTACCCCTGTGCTCAGTGACATTAGTGAATAGAGCTTTCGTCTCTCAATATTCCTTTGCAAGACAGAGCAGAGACCCTGTAAGAAGGTGCTAGAAAGCCAGTGGTGGCATGCATGGGGGAAGGCAGGAGGTGAAAGCTCTGATCAGGGCATGAGCAGAGAAGAGGGACTATCAGAAACCCATGGTAATTATAGAAAGCTATGGGGACATTTCAGGAAACCTCAGGGACAGAGAAGGAAAGCTGAACCAGAATAGACCAGAGGCAAATCTGGAAGAAACCCAAGTTGTGCTCATTGTAAATACTTCAACCACATTCACCTGTTAGGTTCATCAATATTTGTAGAAACAAAGTGGCCAAACAGAACAGTTAGCGATGGGGCAGAATGGAATTTTACAGTCAGTAATCGAAGCCTCTTGAGATCTGTTAGGTAACAAACCAGTCCAGCGTGAGGATAAACATTTTTTCTTATTCATCCACAGCTCCTACTTAATTTGGGGTTCCCTGTATGCAGAATGGAGCTACCAAAGAAGCTGAAGAAGTTGTAAATACAAACCTAACTCTACTATGGCTGACCTCCCAAACACATGTTCAGCTCCATGTCTCCATCTAGAGGACGGATCCAGAACTATCTGTTTGCGGGATGGTTTTTATAATCATTACTGCTCTTCAACTATTTCTGGCTCTCCGCCTTCTGGGCACGGGGTAAATTGTACTTCCCTGTCCTCCTTTGACGTGAGGGTGGTCACGGGCTTTGACAAATTAAGTTAAGACTGGAAGTGGCAGGTGTCATTTCCGGCAGAAGAATTAGGAGCAAGTGCGGGGTGCCACGTGCTATTCCCATCTTGGGGGCTGTGAGGAGCAGAGGCCCCTGCTAAAACTCTTTGGACACGTGAACAAGGAAGGATTTTTGTTGTGTTTGCTCCTGACATGTGGGGTTTCTTTGTTACCACATCGTAATCTAGCCCATTCTGAACTAGGAGAGCTAGCCTTTATTGATTGCTTTGAAGGGAATATCTGACCCATTTCCCACATTCTCAACTCAGGCGCATGTTGAGGATGCACATCTTCTTGTCTGAGGTGCTAAAGCATGAAAGAACATTTTTTTTTAAGTGAGGACAAAAGTTCCTCATTTTAAAGGTTAAATACCTAAAATAAATAGACACATCGATTAAATAAAATAAAAATTAAGCAATGCTATTAAATTCAAGGTAGAAACCCCTGGATTCTAACTCTCAGATGTACTCTCTTTGCCGAAAACAACAACAAAAAAAGATATTAGTAAGTGTCTGGCAAAGTGTGATGCCATGTACCATTATAAATACAAAGAAATGCTGTATAGGGCAGGGTACCCAAAAAAGTAATTACTACATTTCCAAACTTGAAAGAAACCAAGGAAAATCCCCATGACAGAAATTAAGAGTTATTCTAGGAAATTGATGAAAAGGTAAACCCATTGTGCTTTAGACTTGACATAGGCTTTAAAGCCCCACAGAAGTAACCCCCAGGTGCTACAAGAAAGGCCTAGACTGGAACTTCTAAGTAAGGCTTTGGATCTTAGGGAAAAGGAGATGAGAACAAACTCTACCTTCTGGCCTAAAGCACTTGGAAAGTCTGCCTGGAATCTTAAGTAGAAAATAAAAGCTACCAATGAATCAGAGAGTCTACTCATATGCCCAGCATATTTCACTTTATATTACCTGATAGGGCAGGGTACCCAAAAAAGTAATTACTACATTTCCAAACTTGAAAGAAACCAAGGAAAATCCCCATGACAGAAATTAAGAGTTATTCTAGGAAATTGATGAAAAGGTAAACCCATTGTGCTTTAGACTTGACATAGGCTTTAAAGCCCCACAGAAGTAACCCCCAGGTGCTACAAAGAAAGGCCTAGACTGGAACTTCTAAGTAAGGCTTTGGATCTTAGGGAAAAGGAGATGAGAACAAACTCTACCTTCTGGCCTAAAGCACTTGGAAAGTCTGCCTGGAATCTTAAGTAGAAAATAAAAGCTACCAATGAATCAGAGAGTCTACTCATATGCCCAGCATATTTCACTTTATATTACCTGAATGATGTAGGAAACCCAAGTTAAGAGATTCAAATTCAAATTCACCAAGGATCACTGAAGGCCTAGAGGCCTAAATTCCCAGAAGAATCAAAAGTGAAACCACGTGGTAGGGTTACTTTTACAATCTAGGATTCACTGGTAATCCATTTAGGAGGAAGAAAAAACCCTCTGAAAGACAAGCTCACATCCAAAAAACAAAATTCAAAACCTTAAAACTACAAACATGTAAGGGAAGAAAAACTACAAGGGATTGCCATGCCAGCAGATACACTCAACAGGAGAATTAGCTATAAAAGTCCTAAAAAAAAAAAAGAAATAATATGACA